TGACAAGCATGAGGTGATATCTCATTGTGGTTTTAATTTGCATTTCTCTGATGATCAGTAACATCGAGCATCTTTTCATATGTCTATTGATTATCTGTATATCCTCTTTGGAGAAAAGTCTATTCAGGTCCTCTATGCATTTTTAAATTTGGATTGTTTGTTTTTCTGGTGTCAAGCTGTATGAGTTCTTTATAAGTTTTGGATATTAACCCCTTATGGATGTATTATTGGTGAAAATTTTTTCCCATTCAGTAGCTTGTCTTTTCATTTTGTTGATGGTTTCTTCTGCTGTGCCAAAACTTTTTAGTTTGATGTACTCCCACTTGTTTTGTTTTTTTTCTTTTGTTTCCCTTGCCCAAGGAGGTATATCAGAAAAAAAAAATATTACTAAGAGCAATGTCAGAGAGTTTATTATGTTTTGTTCTATGAGTTTTATGGCTTGGGATCTTATATTTAAATCTTTATCCATATTTTTATTCTTGTATATGGTGTAAGCAGGTGATCTAGTTTCATTTTTTTGCATGTGTCTGTCCAGTTTTCCCAACACCATTTATTGAATAGACTGTCTTTACCCCATTGTATATTTCTGCCTCCTTTGTCATAGATTAATTGACCAGAGGCATGGGTTTATTTCTGGGCTCTCTATTCTGTCCCATTGATCTATGTGTCTGTTTTTATGCCAGTACCATGCCGTTTTGATTACTATGTCCTTGTAGTCAAGTTTGATATCAGGTATTGTGATACCACCAATTTTGATCTTCTTTCTCAACATCGCTATGGCTATTCCAGATTTTTTGTGGATCCATGTAAATTTTAGGATTATTTATTCTTTTTTTTAAAGATTTTTATTGGGGAATTGGGGGGATGGGAACAGACAAGTTGCTGTCCTTTTGTTCTTCAGTCTAGTTGTGGAGGACGTCGCTTCACTGGCCCAAGGTGGCACCATCATTGCGCTCTTCCTGCGCGAGGCACATCAGTCGCCGGCTTCTGGACGGCCGCTCACTGTGGCTGCTGGCCGCT